CTAAATGATAAAACCGTGAATTTAAAACCCACTGAATATGCCTGAAACGGTTATTCAGCGAAATTTAAACCCATTGAAAATTAGTCATTTTACAGTAGCTAAATAAGGTAAAATAACACACTAGCTAAAAGACACGTTTTACAGTAGTAGTATGGTCGTAATATGTGAAAATTGTAGGAAATATTTTATTGGACAAGATTGGTTATCTTTAAATAACAATGTACCACAGTCATTCAGAACATTGACAAATCATTATATTGTGAAACCATGCATGTCAGAAGATGTATATTTAAAAGTGCATTTCCTATAAAATCATATTTGCTCTATTAGTAACATATATACTTATATAAATGAAAATTGTGTGTTCAATACGTCCAAATATAATGATCTAGGATACATTAGATGCAATTTTCAGCTTATGTGAGCTTTCATTAGAGAGAGCAAATACAGTATTATATTTAAAAGTCATATGATAAAGGAGTGATTTTAAGAGTAAAACTTTTATTATATTATAAAATATAATTGGAGTTTTTTCCCCCCTTTCATTTTCTTCTTTAGAAAAGTACCCAGATATATATATATATTTATTCATTTTTTTTATCGTAAATGAAAAAAGAGCTGCAATCATCGTGCAAGAAGTGTTTTAATTTAAATGAGCTGTTGTATATCACAATATAGTAACTTGAAATACTACTACAACAATGGTAAGTAATTAAAGAAACACGACAAAACATAAATATGGTAATTGTTATTTTATTATTATTATTATACACATGGATTAATTGTTACAGAAATATTTTTACTTTAAAATACAAGTTTTATACACCCAAATTAATAAAACAAAATAAATAGCAAATGTAATAAAAACCCAGGTGTATATTCATTTATGGGCACTGATTGGAGCAATGAAATAACAAACAATTGCTACAAAACAATTTCCACTGAAAATAGATACCATATTTGCTCTATTAGGAGCACTTCAGATGCATTTCTATAATGAATATTAGTTATACGTTACCCTTTTCACAAGCAGTTCCCTCTGTTCATCACAAATTCACAAATTAGTCTTGTTTATAGTTAGCACTTTCATTCAGATGATTGGGACAAGAATAGCAAAATTATTGAGTAAAAATAATAATTGACTGAAAATTTTGTCTGTTGGCTCCAAAATCCACTCAGGGTTCATTTCAAGAAATATTAAAAAATATAAAAAGAAAAGTGCATACAAATTTGGGCGATAATTCTGGTGAGGAAAAGGTTAATGACTTGGTATATATCTATAATGTTATTCAAGATTTATATGCACTGATACTGGATATGCACTTCTAATAGAGCAAATAAGTTTCTTCAGCTCAATTTGCAAAAAGTGTAGATTTGAAGTTTCAGGAGTTATCTACACAAAATCCGCAACTATGTTGATGGCTTGTAAATAAATGGATATCCATATTCAGTCAAAAATGTTACTTTATTTGAGTTTAGACCACACATAATATTCACATTCCATAAATCAAGAATGATTTCCCGGATAACAATGACAAATGCTTGCAATCTAACACACCCTTTAACTTTTCAGGCCAAAATTTTGATGAAACATTTTGCCGATTTTAAATATTTTTCTATAATTTTTTTGATCATTTTGGACCAAATAGACATGATTATCTAATAGGAACAGATCTTAATCAAAATTAAAAAAAAAAAAATCTGTAAAAAATGTAACATTTTTTGTGTGTGAACGTTGACGAAAGTTGACTTCAGTGCTCAGATGTTGAAGCAGATCCTCAACAATCTTCTTTTTTAAAAATCATGGTTGTTTTCATGACATGATTCACAGATTATAAAATATAAAAATGTTTTTGCGATTAATTCTTGATACGATGTAACAACTGAAGAAACAATGTGAATAATTTTGAGTATATTTTACCAAGTTTGAATAATTTTGCTTGAAAACATTTTGATAAACACATTACTGTAACCCTCAGTTATCAAAAGACAATGTACGCAAGTGGAGGAACAAATCTACAAAAATCATACTCGTACTATTATAATCCAGCATTAAAATGAGAGCATTTTTTCACTTATGCGCAATTTAGTACTGTATTTATGTATTAGGAACAAAAAGTTAGGAATTTTAACTAAGTTAGGGAGTTCACTATAATTTTAGTCAGAACTGTAAAATAACTTAAAAACTGAAAATGCAGTTGAGGAAAAAAAAAACACTTCAAGTATTAAAATATAAAAAATCAAAATACACTTCATCTTAAAATTATGATTTAAACAAAATATTTGAAATTCAGTGGCTGAAACCTAAAGTTCATTGAAATTTGTTTTAAAATAGTTAATTTCAGGGATGTGTCAATCACCTACTTCCATTAAATTATACATTATGACTGGAGAAAACTGGCATACCGTATGCTTCAAACCTCTGATTTTGTGGATGTTTGAAAGGTGGTAACAAAAATAAGCACTAGATGCTCAAACTCATTAAAGGCCCAGGTATACTATAAATACGCTCCTAAACAATAGGGATTATTTCCGTGCTTGTCACACTGTAGTAAACAGCTCCAGCCAAGCTCGGTAAAAACAAATTTTCTTGAACTTACAGGTCGATTATGTCGTGCCAAAGTGGATGCATGTGACTATGAATATCACAGCAGTGATTGTGTGTAGTATTTATGACAATAAATAGTGTACGAGTTGAGATTTTGGCGGATAAAAGTAAAAAACATGAGCCAGGGAAAGGGATGCGCGACTAATCTTGAATAATTACTACTGTCAATCAAAGTCACGTGATGTTGGATCGCTGAAACAGGATGCGTCATAGGCTATGCAAGTGATTAACAACACTCATTAGCATAGCCACACCTCCAATTCACACTTGCCCAGGGCAAGTTAATTGGGCCTTTAACAGTTTATTTGATAGACTTGTGATATGGTAACCTACTATGGTTCTACGAAAAGGTGGATTTGTGACTTTCTTAGCAACGTGGAGAAGAGCCGAGAAGTGAAGCTACACTATACATTCATGCATATCAGTCTTGATGCATAATCATGGCTTCAATGAAACAAATGCTGACATTGCAAACTGACACGCCCAGTGATAAGTAAAACTATATTGCTTTTATGGTCATCAGAACTGAACATGCATCATGTAACCAATCATGAGACCAATCATGAGACC